TAAAAAATGAGGCAATTCATTCCTGACACTGTATAATATCACAATTAAGAATCTCTTAGCTTGCTTTCTTGATATATCTGTTGTATTTCTGATTCAAATGAATCTTGGTGGCATGTTATTGGCTTACAACCCTTTTCAACAGCATGATCAATCAACGCTCTTCTAATAACAGATATTACCCTTTGATCTAACTTATGCAATACAATACAACAATAATACAGGATAGCAATCTTCAAATTCACATTTTCACAATTCAGACAAATATTGAGCAAAATATGCCCATTTTTCATGGTTTTCTCATTTTCAAGTGGGTGCAATATTTTCAGGTGGGTGCAATGCTATTTTCAAAATTTCAGGTTGGTGCTGCTCCCACTTACTTCAATGCCAGGAGGATCACTGAGGTCTATTAAAAACTAACTAAAATTTGAAATACCTACATTGATAAATAAAGATGATCTGTATTGCAATAACATCATTTATGCCATAATTAGTTGCTAATTGCCAAGGAAAATTTGTTATTACCAAGTGAAACCATGGAAACCATGATTTTTCTCTTAAGGGTGGCAGCTAATTCTTATTCAAATATTCATGAAAGGCAATGACAACTTTATTTAGGGTCATTTGCTATAATCAGCAATTAAAAGAAAATTGTCTGCCTACTCCAAATCAGAGAGTAGTCTGTCATTATCTATCCTTTATGGCAAAGGGTATTTTATTGCAGGCATGCCTAGGGTTAATAGAAGAGTGTCTGTCTACTCAAAATCAGAGAGTAGTCATAATATAGCCTTTATGGACAAGGGTATGTTATTGCAGGCATGTCTCGAGTTAAAATAAAATTGTCTTTCTAAATCTAGTCTTTATGGTTTTATTACAGGCATGTTTAGGGTCAAAATAAAATTGTCTGTCCAAATCAGAAAGTAGTCATTATCTAGCCTAAATAGCAAAGGGTATGTTATTCCAGCCATGTCTAGGGTTAAAATAAAATTGTCTATCTAAATCTAGTCTTTATGGTTTTATTACAGGCATGTTTAGGGTCAAAATAAAATTGTCTGTCTAAATCAGAGAGTAGTCATTATCTAGCCTTTATAGCAAAGGGTATGTTATTCCAGGCATGTCTAGGGTCAAAATAAAATTGTCTGTCCAAATCAGAGAGTAGTCATTATCTAGCCTTTATAGCAAAGGGTATGTTATTCCAGGCATGTCTAGGGTCAAAATAAAATTGTCTGTCCAAATCAGAGAGTTAAGTCATTATCTAGCCTTAATAGCAAAGGGTATGTTATTGAAGGCATACATTCTTTATATAGGTCCCAGTGTTAACCTAGGAAGTGGTAAAGGTTGAGTCAGATCTCAAAAACAAGAAGATTGAATGAATCACAACCAATAAAGGTAAATTAAGATCTGTCAATGCTCTCCCACGTCTCTGCCACTTGCTTCAAGATAAGCAAAATTTTTTTTCATTGGTGCAGCATTTTAGAATTTTGTAACTTTTTGAGCAACATTTTAAGATTTTGTGTTATTTTTGTGCAACATTTTTAAGATTTTTGTGTTATTTTTGTGCAACACTTCATGATTTTGTGTTATTTTTGTGCAACATTTCAGGAATTGGTAATTTTTTACATGCAACATTTCAGATTTTTTATTGTATCATTTGACTAGGTACACTTTATTTAAAGATGGACACACCATTTAGGTGTTATGAAATACATGGAGGTACAGCGCCTCTTTAACGTGAAATACATGGAGGTGCAGCACCTCTTTAACATGAAATACATGGAGGTACAGCACCTCTTTAACGTGAAATACATGGAGGTGCAGCACCTCTTTAACGTGAAATACATGGAGGTGCAGCGCCTCTTTAACGTGAAATACATGGAGGTGCAGCACCTCTTCAATGTGTGGAAAGTACTGTAAATTATCCATTATAGGTTTTGCAGTCTCTGGTATCTCAAGAAGAAGGCTATCTTTCATAAGCTTATAGATAAGGAATATTTGATCCATCAAGGTATAACAGGAACATATTAAGACTGAGGGAATACACTGGTGGTAGGGGGGTGGTAGGGGGGTGGTAGGGGGGTGGTAGGGGGGTGGTAGGGGGGTGGTAGGGGGGTGGTAGGGGGGGGGGACTTGAGAGCAAAACTAATTTCTACAATGTGCTGATTAATTGGTAGAACATGTCTCAAAATAGGTACAACATGGACACAATTTCAAATGGGTACAACAACTACAATTTCAAATGGGTACAACATCTAGACTGTTAAGTATACCTAGTGAAGTGAAGGTGTTTTAAATTTTTTTACTGTTTGACTACACTTTTTACTCCTGTTAGTTCTGATAAATATGAGATAAAAAAAGTTGTAATTGCTTTTATTCAATGAAAAATTTTAAAAATATAATAATTACTAAAACCTATGTCTGAACACCTCTTTAATACAAACAACTTTCAATCTGAATGTTTTACTGTATTGTATAATTACTGTAAAATATTCATATTTCATGTGCAACTAATTGTCGCATTTTCGAAAATCATCCCCGGGAATTTTCAGGTTGACCAATATAAGAGAGAAGGAAATCACTCATACTAAGTGCTACTTATAACCCAGAGGTGGCACTGGTGCAGCAAATTTATAGCGTTCTTACAGTATGTCAGCTTACCTCAAATAGTATGAGATTAGTCGTGGTTAATTACCGAATTTCAATGAGAACACAGATCTGCCCAATGTCCACCCCTATATGGGCAACCTCATCTGAATAGCGGTGATAACAATTCTAACCAATGCATTGTTGAAAAACCACATTCTCAATAAATGTTTAAGCTCCAATTTAAAGAGGTAGTCATACCTAATAACACAGAGACCTCCCCAGCATTCAAGACTTTAAAGTATGTAGCCCCCCCCCTCCTGTTTCCAAATAAGATATTTTAAGGTACCAAAGGTTTTCTACTTACACACTATACCATCTTCGAATTCAAAGTGGTTATAACACAAGTTGGAGCAACTAATACCTTGAGAATCAAGATGCACTATACAGGTTTACTGTAACTATACTACAATAAACCCTATCTTAATGAACATCTCTGTCTAGTGAACACCTTGGTTTAGTGAACACCTCTTTGCAGCATATACTCTACTGACTTCTGTATAAAATCCCCTCTCTGTAATGAACACCTACCTTCTGTGAACAAATTTTCGTGGCTCTATAGGTGTTCACTGAACACAGATTTTATTGCACTTGAAATTATAAATTTAATTGCACTTGAAATTATAAATTTATAACTAAAAAATGGGAGGCCATACAAATCCAGTAAAACAGACCAGACTGCTAAGAGTTAAAAGCACTAAAATAAACAAATGTCAGTTTTAACCATTAAATGTTATGCAAGCTTACAGTATGCAGCATGGGCTTTTTAACCTGACCTCGAAAATTGCAAAATATAGCAGAAAGCTAACCTGGACTGAGTAACTTAAATATAGCCTCTGACCTAGAATGTCCCTTAACATCTACAGTTGACACTAATTGTAAAATTATTCAAACCTAAAACGCAAGATTTTGACAATTATGCATTATAACATTTCAGGTGACTGGCTTGTAATTATATATATCAAAAAAGTTGAGTGAACGAACACCTTTTATGTGAATACTTTTTCTCCTTATATGGTTCCCATGTTAAATCTATTCTTCCTGAAGATAAACACCCCTTAAAATTGAACAATGCCTGGTTTCTACATGGTTCAAAGAGTTTACTGAACGGATTTTCATGGACAGGGTTCTTTTAGTCCATGGTAAATTTAATTGGTCTATTTTCAATGTTAGCCAGTTTTTGTACTTATCTGCTCTACTCAGATATACTGATATAAGAAATAAGAGATCGAAAGTGAGTAGTATATTTTAGTTATTCAATTATTCAATTTTAGTCGTCAGAGGAGAATATGACACAACTTGCCTAAAAATGAAAATCTAGTGACCAACTTCGGAATTAAAGTCCCTCTTTAAAGCTTAGATGGCATTCACGAATTAAACTACCGAACTACGAAAACTGATTTACATATTTGATATGTTATAGCCAACTCATTTAAAGGCAGAATCAGATCTATAGTATGCTAGACCCTCATCACCTGCTTCAAAATTGTGATGGCTGAAAGTCAAAAACTGAAATCAGCTGCTTACTAAATACATTCCCAAATGTTTCTTACATCACCGGCCTTCATGAAAGTATGGGCTTAAAAGACCATGGTGAAACTAAGGGGGTTTACAGCTGCAATTGTGCTAGTCCAGACTTCTTTTATCGATTGAGTGGTCAAGAATCAAAAATGGTAGATATCAATCTCATAAATTCACGAAGTGACACTCAAACACTCTGGGCAGATTTCCGACTTCTGACCCCACTTCTGGGTACGAAAGTTTTCATATTTGTTACCCCCATATATATGGGGGTTGACTTGTGTGTTGAAAACTGGGGGTTGAAAATAAGGTGGATTAGTGGTTATTTAGATAAAATTCAACTTTCTGTCACTACTGACAAGTTTTAAAAGCCCCAGATTTCAACACAATTAAATTTGAAAAATCAATCCCACATTTATGGGGGTAATATTTGTGGGCCATTACAATTTTGAAGCGGGTGATAGGGGGCGTGTAAAGGCTGTTCTACAGATAAGCCTTTGAAAGAGGTAAATGCAGATTACCAATGATTATGTAACTATCAGCCTTGAATCCAGCTTATGCTAGCTAATACACGATTGGTAGTTCAATAACCGGGTTTTCAGGATAAGTCAATATTATATTTCTTGGTCAGTTTTGCAATTACACAAGCACATTCATAGGACTCATATAGACCAAGTTTCTGAAGTTTTACAATAGGATTTGGACATTTACTTTATTACGATGTTGTAGCATCTATTTTAATTTACATGCCTTTAGACTTCTCAATGCCAAGTGCAACAGTTGTCCAGTTTGATGGATGCTCAGCCTTTAGTTTTCATATCTTGATATCAAATTGTACATACCTTCCATCCTGCAGAGCTATTGCTGTCTCCCTTGTCTTTAAAGTAAGGAACATTTTGCACCATCCAGTCATAGATCTGTGATAGTGTCAATCTCTGCTCAGGAGAACATTGGATCGCCTTCGTAATGAGGTCAGCGTAGGATAAATTTCCCCATGCATTTCTTCTCGATGTTGCCTTCGCTTTATTTACATTAACTCCAAGTTCTGCCTTTACTACGTCTCTCTCTTCAGAATCTACATTTGCAGAAGGACTGCTCCCTCCTTGTTCTTCGTCAATAAATGTCACGGGCCTCAGGGGCCATGTATTTGATCTTACACGAGACTGGGGTTCAAAATCCGGATCAATTTCGGGCACCTCCATGTTGAAAAAATTAGGTGAAAAAGATCACTCAAATCCACGTTGTATCGTCATAAAATCCCATCTATTTCACTTCGATTGTATCAGCAACATAATCCTTATTCCTCATATGTACCTGTTAATTTAAATGCAATCCATTTAAATCCAGATTTTGCCGTAAAATATGGTGAATTATACAATATTATTTTCTCGATATCGAGTTGTAGGTCTAGCTGAAAGTTCATCAGGGGCCAACTCGTGACGTATTTGTTGTCACGGGTGATTTGCATATGCGCGTACGTTTTCTGCGCAATACAATGAACGAAAATCTTCAAAACAAATCTTCATAATTACCGGGGAATTGAATAATTGATCCTTGGTAACTTTACAGTTTACAGACCTAGCAAGATAGGAGCCATAGTACAATAAAAATTATTGAAAAAATAGGAAGACCAGAAATGTGTCACACTACATCTTATGGAACAAGACTTGCCCAATTCCAGCATTACTCCTCTTTACTAACATAGTTCTACGACTTGTGAAGCACGGGTCCATATTTAATAACTTACCATGAGATAACCATGGAATTGGCCACAGGCTGCTAAGAGAAGGTAAAATGTGGGGTTATGCCTACTCAAGGGTATGCATTGGGTGCGACCGCACGACCGCACCCCCACCCCCAACTTTTTTGAGCCAAGTTAACTTTTTAGATGTCCGCTAGACGCTTGAATCCCGAGTTCGCCCCTGGAAGATTACGCTCATTAGGCCTAGTCTATGAAATAAATCATGATTAATAGTTCAAAAGATCAGAATAACATATTTCAGAACAAACGTCCATAATTTTATCAATAAAGGCAGTATGTTACAGCGGAAAGAGGACAGTTTGTCTTTTTATATTTTCTACTTTAGACAGACCATAACTGCCATCTTTCTGTGGATCAAGTCGCTCTAATTTTTATCTAAACTGCCAAATAAATGGCCTTTTACTAACTTCCAGGCCTCATCAAAAGGCCTCACTTAAGTCTTATTATGTAAGCTTAACGAGATTCATAAAATATTTGGTTCCCATTTCTTTATAATTTGGACCTTGCTTTTAAAATTTGAGGTCCCTTGAAAAAGTCAGGCCTGTTTTCTTAAATAGCATGGTAAAATGGGGCCCGAAAAAGGTGCGATTGAATCCAGCTGAATCACGACGAGGTTAATAATGAGCGGTGATAGACGTACTGTGGTGACCGGGAGACGTGACGTCATTCAAGTTTAACATGCCTGGGGGTTCACCCATTTTGAATGTTCTTGTAATGAAAAACTGGCCGCACTCCTTTCGTCAAGTTCATTTATCATCGTCGTCTCTCGTCATGTCTCTCGTCATGCGTCATCGTCCGGTATTGGGGCATTTGTCATACATGATTCATGGTGATCTATGCAGGTAACAAACAAACAAACAAACAAACAAACAAACAAAAAACAAACAAACAAACAAGCTAGCAAAATGCAACCGTGTCCATATTTGGCCATTTGTGAGCCTTGTTACAGCTTGCCTACATCAATCAACAATGATTTCCTAGATAGTTCCATAAAGGTTCAGCCGGAGAACTTTTATCATTTGATTGAACAATCATTTGTTTAAGTTTTTTTTATTTCTTAACGAAATTTTCAATCGTAGGCCTATTGTTCGTTTCACTAAACATCTGGCTGAATTTTTCGATCAATTCTGTGTCAGTAAATTTAAGGTTCCGATCTCGCCCTTTTATTTTTTTGTACTGAACCGTCTTAAAGGCATCGATGATGATCCAGTCAATCATATGCATCGTCCCTATTGTTAAACGCTCGAACTGCATCAGAAACTGCAACAGATTCACGGCGCGCGCCTCCACCTTCTTCCCATCGTGAGATATCACAGCCTTCTCTCAGTTTCTGGTCTGAGTATCAGAATGCCTTCTTCCCGTGTCGTCTGAAACGCCTTCTCTTAGCCTCTTTTAGACCATCCGAATTGGGCAACTGAAAATATATCAGAAAACATGATCCTTAGAAATAAAAGATCATGTCAACCGTCGCATGATTGTAAGAAAGTTTAATTTTGTTCATAATTTGAATTACAAAAAATATCCAAAAGAATTGGATCACCGTCGTAGGCTTAACAACTCATTGTCGGTCTCTCCAGGGTCTTTATAAGAACTCCCAAGTACATGCGTGATCAACACTGCGTAAAACTGCTGTTATCCGGGAAAATGCGACGTTAATGGAAATCCAGTATTAGCGACTGATGCAATAAAATGCAAAGATATAACAGATCCGGATCACTGGTTAATGCAGACGTCTCATTAAGCCGTGTTTTATCAGTATTAGAAGATGCGGATATATGTTTCATCTTAATTTTTGCATCAGGCAATAACATGTTAATATTTTAATATAGTTCTGCATCGAGCAATGCAATATAATGCAACAAGGAAGTTATTATGCGGGAAAATGCAATTTATATGGAAACCTGGGATTAATGCATGATACGCGTTAATGCAAAAACAAATAAATCTGCATAGTTGGGCAATGCAAATGTTTCATTAAACCGTGTTTTGTCAGTATTATATGATACAGCTATGTTTTACACATTTTTTGGCATCAGCCAGTAACATATTTATATTACACATATATTGCTGCATCCGGTAACAAACATGTTAATATTCTGCATTTGCTCTGGGAACCCAGCATTAACGGCTGGTATCGTAAAATGCAGGAAAAGTAGAGATCCGCGTAAATGTTAAGTATGTTCACCACGGAAAAGGGATGCCGATCCAAGTAAATCCTATCTTGAATAATAGCGGATGTAACCGTGATCCAAATAAACAAAAGAATATGCTCGATAATTATTACATGAGGCGGAGAAAATCTAATCTTGCATAACTCTGTAATGGGAACCCTGATGATCCAAGAAAATGCAAGATTCGTAATATACCAAATCATACAATAGTTCTATTGCATTTTCCATATATATTCTGTATTGAACAATAAAGGTCTCTGTTAATTCTTGGATATTTTTCCTATTTTGAGATACGTGGTATTTAAGATGGACATATACCTACATTATTTAATCCATAAGCTTATAAGTTTTAGATATTATTGTATAGCTAGATGACGAAATGTGATTCCCCGTATATTTTTGGATCGGGGAATGCAATGGAAATGTATTGGGATAATGTTGTATTTTGCAAATCCATGGAATTTTTGTATTGCTTAATTTTGCACCGCTTAATGCAAGAAAGTTGTATTCCTGTATAAACTTTGCTTAGGCAAATCATTTAAATAACTGTTTTACATAATTTATTCGTTTAAGATCCGGGGTTATCATTTCTTGCATATGTCTGCATCTCTAGAAATTGATATAGTATGCATAAATATATTAATTCGGTACACCAGCCAATTATGGGAATACATTTTTGCGTATTCACATTGGTGGGTCCAAGAATGCATGAAATATAATTTCCATATATATCCGGTTTACATTACTGTTCATATAACTTGTATCTCCATTTCATTATGGGCAATAAAGATATACAATGCAATACAATTAGGCTACGTAATTCATCAAAGTAACTGTTTTGCATCATTTATTATGTGTTGTTAGATCAGGGGTTGTAGTTCCTTTCATATTATTCATCTCTATATTTCCTTTATACGAATAGCAATGCATCAAAGCTGCCCGTTTCGAAAAACGCAATCTTGGATTGTTCCCGGGTCCCTGGGGCTTTTATTGGTTGTATTGATAAAATGGACAGTACAAATTGGGGAATATTTAGTTCAAATAATCACGATAAGGGTGTCATTATGATGTTTGTGTCTGCAATTATTGCCCAGCAGATGTTCACCGGTAAACTAATTATTCCAAGATTTCTAAATTTACAATATCGAAACGACTCTATCTGTAACAATTACAGCGGTGGTCTAGAGGTGGAATCCTCGGTTCCTGCGCGAGAAGTCGCTTTTCGAATCCCGTTCGTTCCCAAAATATTGTTATTGCATATTTTTATTTTGTGAGAAATTTTTAAGATCGCCATATATCTGCATTATTTAATCCGTGGATGTTAATTTTTGAATATTTTTATTAAGCTAGATGATGAAATTTTATTCCCCGTATATGGTTCGATCAGGGAATGCAATGAAATGTATTTTGGATAATGTGGTATAAGGAGATCCGAGAAATTTACTTTATTGATTCATTTTGCATCACTTTGTTTTATTGCAAGAAAGTTGTATTCCCGTATAAATCGGGATTAGGCTCATCAAAATAACTGTCATGCATAATACATGTGTTGTAAGATCAGGGGTTATTATTTCTTGCATATTTCTGCATCTCTAGAATCGGTAATTTTATTTCCTGCATATAGTTGGATATGCAATAGTATGTTCTGGATAAATATAACAGATATAAAAAATATAGTTTTGGCGTATTTCTCCTCATTGGTCGATGACGAAATATAATTTTCGCATTCTTTGCATAAAATAAGTACTTTAATTGACAATAGAAAATCACAAATTGATTAATAATGCATATAACACGCCGTGACGTGATCCAACAATATCCAATAAAAAGAATGAACAATCATTACTTGATGCTGAAGTTTCCCGTCTTGCATAACTCATTCGTCGGGACCCCGGTGCTCCAGAGAAATACAAATCCTATACAATCTGCATTACTTAATCATCTTATCGCATTTTTTATTCCCGGAATGTGCGAAACGGCCGTTGTTTCTTTCTAAATTTTCTTTTGATACGATAATTTTACTTGCTTGACTATCTCCGCATCTTTTAATCTAATTATTATTCGTAATTGATCGTAGTTCCAAAATTGACCCGTACTACTTTGTTCTTATGCCTCTCACATACTAGTGGACGATATCACACAATATTGGCCCTGCTCACACAGGATTGACCCGTACTATAAGGTCACTATGCCTCCAAAACGGGATAGAATTAGCTCATACAAGAGTAACTCGCACTGTAATGTTCCTGGTCACCTCACATAATATTAACCCAGTTCACACAATATTGATCCGTTCTATAATGCTCCTATGCCTCTAACATGAGACTGCACGGGTTCACACAAGATTGACCCGTCTCACACAAGATTGACCAGTACTATAAGGTCCCTATGCCACCAACACGGGATTGAATTAAATCTCACAAAAGTGACCCGTACTCTAATGTTTCTGGGCACAATACACAATATTGACACATATCACACAATATTGACCAAAACTACAATGT